CGGCCGACGGTGCTTCCCTCGCCGCGGCACGCACGTCGCCACCGACCTCCATCCCCACCCCCACACCCCCCCCCACACCCCACACCCACACCCACACCCACACCCACACCCACACCCACCCTCATTTAGAGAAAATTTTAAGAATCTAAAACAAAATTTTTCACTAAAATTTCTATAGAATTTAAAATGTAACACATTATAAAGCCACTTCGATACTATTAATGAGATCTAATCACGTCTATCGCAGTTTGCAACGGAATGAAAATCATACTGTATCGATCTGCTGGTCACAGTCTGTTATCAAGTCAAAAAACGATGCTAATATAAATCTTAAACATTGACAGTATCAATTGTATACTGATAGATATTTCACACATCTGTTGGTTGAACGGGAGGCGATTTATGCACTCTTTTCCCTATTTCCTTCAGTATTCGATATTTAGAATCGAGAAGTTCAAAAACACAAGAAGAAAACTTTTGACAAAGCCTAAAAAATTCAACAAGTGAACAACAAAAGTAAAGGTATGAGTGTGAAATGTGGGGTTGTGGCTTCGACTGTACAGTGTGGATGTAGACTAGATAGGTGTGAGTATTAATAAAGGGAACATCCACACCTACAACCACACCCACACTCACACACCCCACACTCTCTAGAAATGATGTATGCCTTTTAAGCAATGAATAATCATAAATACTTGCTTAATATCTTAATTATAGAAATTCAAATATGAAAATATCTTTAAAAGTTTCTTGTTTTTCTTCATCACAAAATAATTGAAACAAAACAAAAAAGTGGTTTATAAATAGCTTAAGTATAATGAATATAATAACAAAAAATTAAAAAAATTTCGATTAATATTCATAAATTACATTGATAAGAATAGTAAGAATCTTTTTAACCTTTGAAAACACGTATGACATTCGCTATAGCACATCGACATAAAGGACATTCAGATAATTGTTTACCACAATAAATACATGAACAAAGATGACCACAATTAAGAAAGACACAGTCGATATTTGCATCCAAACAAACTTTGCATAAATTTTCGTTGGGGTCTTCTTTAGAGACTTAAATAAAAAAATAAATAGCTAATGATCAGAACATATAAAAAAAAACTTATTTTACTGTTGGTATTTGATTCGTTTTTTTGTTTTTCATTATGATAAAGTAATTTAACTTTACTAATTAATTCTGATTTTTTAACACATTCGGCAATCTGTACCAAATTATGTACAAGAATTTGTTGTAGTTGTTGAGTAGTTAAGTCATCTATTGATTTTAATGATGATATATCATTGAGAGTCATGCAAGCATGATTTATTTTTGGTGAAGCAACTTCAGTTGATGCTATCGGTTCTGAATGTTCATTTACACCTAATGAGTTCATATCTGACGATGATGTCTAAAGATAAATTGTAAAAGTAAGCAAATAAAGAGATAAGACTTGAATCACATGCAATGACTCATATCAAAATTTTACAGACTGAACAATCACCATATTGCTGTAAAGATATGTATCAATATTCTTCTTCTATTTCAAAGATTATATTTGATAATAAACACAAATTGAAATGATAACTAAGCATCTGTATATGATATAATGTTTATTTTGATTAATTCAATCGTTAAATAGCATTATTGCTATGAAGAGGAAAAAATCTTGTTTCCTTTTTCTCATTCTATGAAATGAAGGCTTAAAAAAACAGCTAATTGTTTTAAAGTTGTGTGTGCGCCTGCAAGGTTAAAAATACGAATAAAAAAGAACCATAAAAACAATATATTTTTCTTGATTTCTTATTTTTGTGTGTTATCACAACTCCATGATGAATAATAAAAAGAAGCTTGATGTCTCGAATATTCAAAATAAATAACTATCAGAGGTTCAGCAAGACGGCAAATATACTCTTCGCTGAGAGTCACATCGTCGAAATTCAGTGATGTCACTGTCGGTGATTTTTATGACAATGACCAAAACTATCGGCGATATTCTCAGATGATATTTGTAGTGTTCGAAAACTTCTATTATTATGGCTATTGATATTTTTTATACTTCGCTAATATAATGAAATACATAGTTAGTGTCTAAGTTGATTCTGTTATCAAGTGAAGATAGTCACTAACTCGATTTAGGAATCCAATTAAGCTACGAAGTAATTGAACTTAGGAGCTAATCTGGTAACTTAAATAAGTTAGTGACTAATAAAAGACCAGGTCTTACCTGATGATCCACACATCACAGCCAATTAGTAGATGTCATGCATATGTATTTATCTATGTGACATATGTTCTGAAAGTGAGTGGAGTAATAGATTACCGAGAACTGCGTTGACGAAACAAAACTCACTAGCACAAATAATCGAAAGGTATTCGACAATCTTCATTTCAACGATGTCCGTTTCGGCGCGAGTTTCGGTGCTCTGAGTTTTCGGCTAGGGTCATTACAATCGTTTTTCTGTAAATCAAGACTTACACAAAAATGCGTCTAGATCCAGAATAGCTTGGTAAAGTTCAATCAAAGTTTTATAATATATAGTCAGAGTAAGAGGATCCCTGACTCATAAAGTATTTCTATTCTATAGTTATGAATTTTGCAATGGTGACAAATGACAACCCGTATGTATTATTACTGTTCTGTGGCTAATGCAATAGGGGCAGGAGTTTTGTTGCTGACCTACACTGATCGAAAGCTATGCAACCTACATGTTTTTACAGTCATAAATATTAGGAAAGCTGAGATTCGATGGGAAGAAGAAATACTTCAGTACACTAGTGTACTTCAAACAATTTTTTTATCAACAGTTCTCTTATGGATATGAGCTATGAACATTCTTTATGGGCGGTAAAACAGTCAGCCCCTTTACTCTACATATGGTAGAGATATTCAATTTTTTTCTGTGATAAAAATCCTTTTTTAGTCATCATGTCATGGGCCTCGTTGCTGCAAATTTGTTAATAAATATCGTCGAACTTTATTGTCTAAACAAAGACCCAAATACTTAGATACACAAAGAATAATCAAATTTACAACAAACAAAAATCGTCTAACGATATATAATGATCTCTGCGATCGTTGTTTCCATTTCTATTAAGAAGACTTTTGCCGAAAGCATTTTCCCATCAGCTAAACTCTACAAAATAATATTATTGTGTCCGATATCATAATGTATATGTAAAGAAAATATTATGATGCCAGTTTTGAAAATTTTCATGATTTATGAAAAAAAGCCATTACTCTGCCACTCAAATCGTCCTTTAATGTATAAAATTCACCTCTTTAATTACTCTATGGAATAACGCATTACTGTAGTTCCAATGATTAAAATACATTTGACTCCACACTTTCATTCGTCACCAATCACACATATTAGAAATTTGATAGAACCATCAGTGTAGCTCACCTAAAATTGTTCATCACATACGAACAATGATTATATGCGAGGACAAAATCTACCTAATGAAACAGCAGTTATATAAGTGAAATAGATTATTCAGTTACTTTTCAGGAGACTAATTTTATTTCTCCACGTGTCGTATACCTATTTTTTGGCAAAGACAGATTTTCCATGTGCTTTCAGAGAAAAGATTTCATCAGAAAGCGTTTATAGTATTTCTACATAGCTAGTTATATTTTCCATGATCTTCAGTATTTATCACTACGATTTTAGATAAAATGAAAGATTTCTACGTTCTATTTAGTCTTTCATATAAAAAAATTATTTTTATTCTTACATTCGATGATGTTGATATATTTGAATCGTAATTGAAATTTCTTGGTCGTCTATATCGTTCCAAATTATAACGTGCAAAATATAATTTATAACATTCAAAACCTTTTTAATATAAAATACCGAAAAAAAAACAAATAATGTATTTTAACTATTTAATCTATAATTGCTACCTTTAGGTGATAGATTTATTAGATCAAGTTTTGATATCCGTTTTTCAAATAAAGCTATTTGAGAATCCCTATTGACATCTTCAACACATGTTATAAACCAAGTAAAACCAAGTTCACGATTAAGAAAACTTGCCTTTTCATTTGTTATTAATAGATCCCATAATTCTTCACTACGTTTTAATACTAAATAAAAACATCCTTTTTTTAATAACAATGATAATAAATCTAAATGAATTTTAATTGACTCTTCATATGTAAAACGATCATCCACGGATGTCTCAATAGTAACATGACCATGTGTTTTATTCCAAACATCTAATTGATATGTTGATAAACTTTGTATTAATACTGATATAACATCATGCTTATTAACTACTAATGATATAAGATCAGCTTTAAAAAATTTAACTGTATTTGTTGCATCATGAAGTAATAATTCATGTAAGTGTTTTATAGCTGGTACAAACCAACCTTGCTTACGATGTAAATCGGTCATACATTTAAGACAATAATCACGCCTAAGTGCATCATAGGGTGAGCGACCTTCATTAAATACACGCAAATGACAATGTAGAATATGATCAAGCATTGAACGATTAAGTTGATCTTCATGTGCCATATCCCAAAGAACTTCTAAAACACGAGCAGCACAATCTTTTTGACATCTTCGACCAACAGCACCAAGTAATTCAATAAGTTTTTCTTGTATAGAAATTGTTTCAGTTTTCCATGACTACACAGATGACATTCAATTATATTTGTGTATGTGGGCAAAAACACAAATTATTTATATTACGTTATCAATTAAATCAATTAGATAATTGAATTGTTCTAGATTAAATTTCGTTGCGGCAGATACAATCAGACTCAGCAAATGATCCGCTGTGACTAATGATCGAGCATACTAGAAAAGACAAAGAAATAAAAACCAAACACTAAATTATTCTTGTTTTTTTTTGAAAGTTTATAGTGAACATAGGGTGTGGGTAGGTGTGTGGATGTGGGTGACTGCACGTGCTATTTTTCTTCTGATTTAAACTGACAAGACATCCCACACTCACATCACCCACACCCTCTAGAAGTTGATATTCTTAAAGAATTTCTTTGTTTATCGGTCTCATTAAGCATTAGTTGCCAATTTACGTGATAATTATTCTCGGAATAAAGCAAGAAGGAAACGACGTACTCTGAAAGTCTATGGAGTAAAAGAAGCACACAAAATTTAATATAAAACGTGTTTAATTCAATAAAAAAATGACATACTCTCATATTTTCTGGACTTTCACTGTAGTTCCTGAACTCCGAGAGCGCATTGAGAGTCCAGAGAGTACGAAGATATTTCGTTCCGCTTTGCATTCCCTGTAGCATGTGACTGCTCACCTAGCACAGATCATCCTCACAAAGTCTCACCCACGTCCAACTTCTCTAATAAATTCAACGCTTGCACCTTCAATTATCTTGATACACGTATATCGAAAAACTTGAGATATTTGAGTTGTTTCGGTTTATTACTTCTTAATGTAACGACTTAAGGCATAACGTTGTATCGAAATGGATATGCTTTGGGATAAGACACCAAAAAAACTCGAACTTCTCAAGTGCTTTGCCATATATTGCATTCGGTAAGAAATAGATCAGTATACTGTTAGTAATGCTTTGGATATAGAAGTCGATTCCGTTTGGTTTAATGTTAGGAGAGTATTGTGGCGTTAAACTCTAGTTATCCTTTGTAATGGTATTACGAAATCAATAGCTCTCTGTGACCATATCGTATTAACTATTATTTATAATTTACAAATTATCAATTGATCCTTCTTTAAACTAGTAAATAATTACTTCTTTGCCAACTTTATTAAATTTAATTACATTCTTCTATTAAAACTGGTGACATTTTAAAGCTATTACCGAATTAAAACGTAACTTCTATTATTCTCTAGAGAGCATACAACTTGAAGTTATAGCTACCTCAAATCTAATATAATGAGTGTAAGATTCGGATGTATTCTTTTCAGACGTCAACCATTGTTGTTTGTTCTCTCTTAAGTGTTTTTCTTCACTTGCCCGATTTTCTGCTGTCTAATTTATAGCAAAAGATAAGTAAATCTTCATCTACGCACAAATAAAAAGCAAAGATAAAAAAATCTTATTCAACTAATCTTTTGAATATTTCGAGACAAAGAAGATATAAATAGTATTGAAAAATATATACCTGCATTTTCCATATTGTTTCAATATCTTCTTTTAAAATTCTTGGTGCGATGAAATCCACTAATGTTTGAACTTTTTCGATATATTGATTTTGATCAATATTTCCTATTCAAATAAAATAAAATAAAAGATAAATAAAATGAAAATTTTTATTTTCACCTTCTAATGCTTTTGAGAGTATAGAATGTTCAATAATCCATTGAGTAACAGTATCATGTGGAATTGATGTTTTAATTATACTTTGTACACTTGATGTACAATTTTCAATTATTTTTGAAAGCTAAAAAACAATGAAATAAAAATTTTTATCATAAAAATGATTTTACTTCTTTTAATGAATTCATTTTAGCATTAAAATTTGATAGAGTAAGCATTTCAAGTAATATATTTAAATGTAGTTCTTCCATCTGTGCAACCCGGTTTTTCCATACAACAGAATATATTTTACGTAAAGTTGTAAGTAATTCAAATATTGAATTTGTTGACTAAGCATTTTGTATAAAGATAATTTTATTCAAAAGAAAAAAGTAATCAAAGTCTAACAAACTTCTGCTTTAAAATCTTCTTCTTTCAGGTTTTTAACATAATCTAACGCTTGTTCAATATGTTCACTAAATAATTGTTGATATTTATCTATGAATAGATAATCCATGCATTGAGCAAAAGGTGAAAGTAATGCATTGTATTCCTATATTTATTAAATAATTACAAAAGAAAATTTAGAAAGAAGGACAACATTTGAATTCTTACTAGAGCTATCAATGATTGTACACTTTTAAATTGTTTTTTTAAATTTTGTATTCCATCGTTTAAAACAAAACGATTTATTATTTCACGTAGCCAACCATATGGTTCATTTTGATTAAAAACAGAAAATATTGATGATGATTTAGCCAATATATGTTCACCTAATTGTTTATCATAAAGTGAACTATCATATGGTCTGTTTTTATTTTTTTGTTGAAAAACCGAATTATGATCAAAAAGTATAGCTAAAGTTTCAAGTAATTGTACTGGTACTGGAGAATAAGAAAGACGAGCAGCTATTAGATCAACTAATAATTGCACCATATCAAAGACACCCAATTGAATCTCAACTGCCCAATGATTAATATAATGAGAGCATTGCAACTAACACATGACAACATAAATCAATAAAAAACAGAAAACAAAAATATATTTTTAATACTTTTCGAAAAGCTTCTGGAATTAAAGCTTCCATAAATTTTTTGCAATGTTCATCTTGATCAACGATTCCTGAAATTTCAGAATTACAAAAAAAAATTAACAAACTATTAGTTTAACCATCAAGTGCAAGCTTCATAGCCGATAAAAGGCAACGACTAAGGTTTCCTTCACCTAAATATGAACAAATGAAACATTTACTCGCAAAATATTCATTCGTATTAAATTTACGTTTATAAGGAATTGGCCATTTGTCTCCATAGACTTTTTTTTCAAGATCTAGAAAATCACTTGTTGTAAATGAATTCGAATTTTCTATAGATAATCCATCCGATGATGCACTGGAAGCTTTATCTAAGGTGATCTTCAACGAGAAAAGAAAAGCGATTTAAATTAAAATTTTAATTTTAATTTTAAATTTACGTTTTGTTGTTGTTTCATTTGTTTTTTAGTAAGTGAACCAATAAATGTTGATGTTGGCCTTCGTTCGTTGGGAGTCATAAAGTCATCGTTACAAAAATGTGAGCTTGTCAGCAAAGTAACAGCTTCACTAATATCATTCTCAGCTCTTATTAAAGCCTTACGATTCAATTCTCGATCGGCAAAACCCATATTTTCTAATATTTTCATATTGTCTTCCATATTTGATAATTTAGTTCTTGTTGATGATGGAGTTAATGAATTATTTATAAAAAGAAAATGTTCTAAAGAAATAGAACCTGAACTTAAATTCTACCTTGCATGCAACACAACTTTTATAGTCTGTATCATGCAATAACCTTCGGGAAGGCTGGGTGTGAGCGAAAGACAGTCACCTACACCCATGAACAAAATCACTACTATTTGCACTTCATCTTACGAGGTATAAGCGGGCATAAATAGTATGGGACAGTATAAATTTTGATTCTACTGATAATTCGCATACATATGTGTACATCTTCTTGCAAAGAGGTTTCTTTTTTTTGGAAAAGGATTTTGCAGAAAATTCAAATTTTCTAAATTATGACTTCATGCAGTTAGTATTATAGTCACAGCCATAGCGTCACAGTTGCGACCCTACTTGGAAAAATATGATACTTAAGAAAGTCAAAATAATACCGTTATCTGTATTCATTCTTATCAAAATGTAAGTTGAAAGAGAGTCAGAGAGCGTCGCATATATTTTTATGTAGTGGGTAGAAACAATAAAAGTTTTGTGCGTGGTTACTTTTCATTTTATGTTCGTCAGAGTTTTCTTTTTGGAAAATGCCAAGCACATTTTGTTGTAAAACCAAATTGACATGATGTCTCAGTGACTGTTTCCTGTTCTATAACGAGTGATGCTGCATTGGATATTGGTGAAAGGTGTGGTTCTTCTCTTATATTAATCACACACCCATACACTCACTTGTGCATAATTTCTTTTGAATTCTACGAAGAAAACTTCTCTGTTGTGAACAACTAAGTTTAAACTTACTAGTACATGAGAAAAAGATGCAGAAAGGGAAAAAGAAATATCTAACATAAGAAATAACTTTATTTTATAGCCGATAGGCATCAACACGTTGGTTTTGCCTTGCATGAGACAAATCAATGCTTGCTGCGTTATGTGCAGAAGTGTAATTACCAACTTGGAAAAGGAGACAAACAACAACCTTCAGAAAGCAAGAAAGCTGTTCTTCAACGAAAAACATTAAAGGTGGGCTATTCAGAAAAGAATGACGTTGACGAAAAAAAAATTCTCTGATGAATAAAATCTGACTCAAGAAACGCAAAAGAAAAACATAATTTTTCTGTAGTGTTTTTTTCATATTTTACATGATGCAATAACTATGGCATTTCTGTAGGCGCTGTGCACGAATCAATCAAGTTGACGACGAAGATGGGGTAGATGTCAGTATAATTGCTACTGAGTGTTGATCTGCTCTTGACCTATAACTCCCATCATCGAATGAAAACAAAAACCATCGATAGTCTTTATGGAAGTGAAAGCACATTTGCTTATTTAAATTGTAAGATCAGCGTTTTAAAACTTTTACATAAACATTTTCTGATTAGAAAATGGAATTATTCCATTTTCGCCGATTCCAATATCGCCGACTAATTTTTTTGGCCGAAAATTACCAAGTCGAATATGAATCATTCTCCATCTAAGAGTTTTTTCCAATTTAATAGGTTTATTAACAAACTCATTAATTACCATATGAGTTGGTAACCAACTGACTTGGCAACCATCTGACTTGGTAACCGTCTGACTTGGCCACCAACTGACTTGGTGTGGGTGTGGGTGTGGGTGTGGGTATGGGTGTGGGTGATGTGGGCGTGGGCGTGAGCGTGGGCGTGGGCGTGGGTGTGGGTGTGGGTACGGCTTTTGCTGTGGCTGTGGCTATGGCTGTGGGTGCGAAAGAGAAAGAGAGGATAGATTCCCATATCTGCACGCACACCTCAAGTCCAGTCACACCCACACTCACTCGCACACTTTCACTAACACCCACAATAATCGATCCTTACTTTTTTCCTTTTAAAGTATAATTCATAAACTTCGATTTTGCTTTTTTGTCTTTATTGCCCAGTGGAGTGCTCCTTTATGATTGCTACACAACATTTTCTTCATTCACAACTTGCAAAAAATTTTCTTTTTTCAATATGTAAAACGTGATTGCTGCCATGGTTCAGTGGTTACGTCGTTCGACACGCACCCACTAAGTACTGTGTTCTAACTTCAGTAACATCACCCATGGAACGACTCTGGAAAAGTCACTAACGGCTAAGTTGTCTCTAATGAATCATTCCACATGAGTCATTCATACTGACTACATCTTTAGCCAGAATGTTAGACGGAAGAGGGTGCAGATGCCGCCATCTGTAAAAAGAAAAAGACGAAAGAATCCGGCTGCATGTGAAAACTGTTAATAGTAACCGCGGCCGGCCCGAATGGGCGATAAGCCTATGGGACGTTATTATTTATTATTATTATTATTATAAAACGTGATTATTGTGCTTCGAATAAAATGGCTCAGAATGGAGAAAAGAAAAGAAAAATAAATTTGTACACATACATGAGAATCATAACAAGAGAACATGCATATAAATTACCCGCTCGAAGCGAGAGGATTTCGAGAATATAATTGTGGCTGTGCGGGTGTGCTTCCGATACGAAGATCTACACCCACACCCACACCATCATTGTAGAAGAACCACAAATTTTGATCGGATCAGTCTGCACAGAAATCCTCACTTTTTCAGAAGCGTTTACAATTTTTTTATTGACCAGAGTAATTTGATAGGTGCTTTACATCTGCATATAGTATGGTTTATCAACGAAGAGTTTAGGGGTGTGTGTTGGGTATTGCTGTGGATGTGGATGTGGATGTGAGTGTGGGTGTGGGTGTGAGGGTGAGGGTGGATGTGGGTGTGAAACAGAAAGAGAGGATAGAAACGCACGTCTGCACCCACGTCTAAAATTCACTCACATCCACACCCGTAATTAGATTAATCGAATGGATGAAAAATCATCTAGCAACGCGATATTCGATTGTTTCCTACGAAAACAACACAATTGAAATCCTTGTAAATCTATGGATTGTTTCCTATTGAATTTTTGCACTTTCACATATTTTAAAGAATATAGTGAACTATCTTATACATGCAAACAAAATCAATTCAATCTGATGTTTTCAACTTTTTATTTCAGTACTCGATTTCAGGGTGTGGGTGTGATGCTTATATTCTATGCATTCACACCCACCCCCACCCCCACACCCACCC